CGGCCCCGGGAGGAGGCCTCCCTGCGCGGCCTCTTAGGAGGCCTGGCGTTCCCTGGGACCTTCGTCTTCTCCTGCAGTCCAGGAGGCTCCACACCGCAGAGGCACCCCAGGGTCCTGCCAAGGCCCCAGGGGACTCTAGCCACGTACCCCACGTTACAGGTGGGGACACTGAGGCCCGGAGGGGGCCCCTTAATGTTCTGGGCGCTCGTGTTTGCGGCCAGTCGCACCTGGGCTGGAGGAGACAGCCTGGCACTGGCGAGAGCTTCTTTGGGGCTAGGACTAAGGGACCACCCGGGGGCAGGAAAAGGGCAGGTGGGTGGGGAAAGGCTTTCTGAGCCTGAAGCGTGGACGAGGGCTGGAGATGTGGAGGGAGCCATGGGCAGCCTAGGAATTGAGGAGAAGCCAGAGACTTGGAAGGGAGGCCAGCCCTGGAGGCCTTGAATGCCAAGCTGAGGGGCCAGTGAACTTTACCTTCTGGTGAGCTGAGGAGTCACAGTGCACACCCCTGAGTCCCTCCCACCGAATCTGCAGGGGCCAGGGGAGGCAGCTGGGAGGAAAGCCCCAGTTGGTGAGAGGTACCGTCACAGCAGGCCAGGTCTGGGACTGTGCAGTGAGTCAGTATTGAACTGTGCCCGCGCGTGCGTATGTGTGTGTGTGTGTGTGTATATGTGTGTGTGTGTGTGTGTGTGTCTGTCTGTCTGTCTGTCTGGGGATTGATGCCAGGGCCTTTGCACTGAGCTCTGTCCCCAGCACTTTTTTATATTTTATCTTGAGACGGGGTCTCATTAAGTTACTAAGTTGCCCAGGCTGGGCTCAAATTTGCCATCCTGCTGCTTCAGTCTCCCGGCCTGCTGGAGTTAGAGGCTTGTCCTGCCTCCCCCAGCTCTGTCCAGTACAGCATGGTCCCTGGGCTGCAGAACCCGGGGACAGCCCAGGAAGGGCTTCCAAGGCCTGTACGACTTCCAGCTGCTCGGAGTGACAGCGGGGTGTGTGTGTGTGTGTGTGTGTGTTTGTGTGTGTGCAGCAGGAGTGGAAGCCCTGTCCTGCCCCACAGCCCAGGATTGGCTTCAGCCGCCGGCCACCGGCCATTGCGTCTGGGACGCAGGGCAGGGCACACGGACATACATGGGCCATAGCACATGGTCCAACACATAGTAGGTCCACAGCAGTTTCCTGTCAGCTGCCACCTGTCAGGAGATGTGGCGTGGTATTTAAGAATGAGGGCTCCAGAGCTAGACTGATCAGGTGCAAATGCTGCTTTGGCTGTCTTGCTACAGAGCTCACTTCTCCAACCTCAGTCTCCGGTTTGTGATATTCTGGGACTGCTTCCTACTGTTACGATGAGGGTTGCCCCAGTTAATTTTTGTTAAACACTCAAAACATCCTCAGGTATGTAGGAAGCACTTTTTTTTTTGGTATG